AAGCAAAATCAGCCCGGACAATGATTTAGGAAACCATGTACAGCCATGACATTTTCACAGATGTGATTTTCAGTTTCAAAAGCCTGCTTTTAAAAATCTATTATTTAAGATGACATAGCACTCACTACCATTCAGGAAGATGGTAGTAAACAAATAGGTTCTTATTGTCATTTTGTTTTTTGCCAAAGCAATGGCGGTCTCTTTTATGTCACTAACTAAACTGACTCCCAAACAAAGAAGGAATTTAATGGGATTCCCAAAGCATGTCAATACAGATTAGCCCTATGGCAGCTCTGCTTTATGGAACATTTAGCCTCTGGAATAGTGACTTTCTGGCCGAGAAACTTATAAACAAATACTATTTGTAATATGAAAGTTTACTTTTATTTCGGCCAATGTTTGTTGATGCCGTGGAGGTAGCAGGGGATAATGGCAAGGGCTTTGCAAGATGATGGTACTATGAGACCCTAAGAATGTTAATTTGTCCAAGAGTGCTTTAGAATCTCATCTATTAAATCGGGTATATCAAATGCTCACAAGGGGGTTATGATATAATATGTGTAATGTAGGCACCACAGCAAAATGATTGAGAGCAAGGACCCTGGAGAAAGGCTGCGTCCCATGAAAGTATGAATCTTGTCAGTTTTGCTGAAAACTGTATTCCCAGGGTTTAAAATGGTGCCTAGCACATGGTATGTGCCCTGTAAAGATGTGTTGAGTAAATGGAGTCAAAGCACCCTGGCTTTGTGAATTCTTGGTTATATGATTATGGGCAAGTTCCTTACCTCTACAAGCCTCAGCTTCCTAAACTGAGAAGTAAATGAGAACAGTGTAAATGCTTAATCTATTAGGTATTATCATTCAGGTAACATGAACACAGCCTGAACAAAGCAGGCGCTCAATCTGTCATAACTATTATCACCAATTTGAATTTACAGTTAATAAGCTGTTTATTTTAAAAGACATTATTAATGAGGATAATGTTATGAATTAAGGAAACTACTGGTTTTAAACAATATTGTGCACTTGAAAGTCTTATGAAAACTGCTAAACAGAAGACATTATTAATGCTTTAAAGGATGTTTAGAAGGGAGCATTCACACACAATTTAAAATTCCATTGTTTAAAAATGCTTTCTCAGATATTTACTTTTTCTCATTAAATATCACTGTGAATGATAAAAGGAATCTGCTTTTACACACTCATCAAAGGCAGCAGTTCTGAAAAGTGTGGGAAATAGAGTTGACCCCTGTGTTCAGTACCAAAAACAATAAAAAAAAAAAAAAACAACCCTCATCTTCTAAAGGCAGAACTTGTTAAGTACTGAGACATATAAAGCATTTTGCAATACTGAATAAACCAATAAATATTTTAAAATATTATTGCACAGAAGACAAAAAAAAATGAAATCACTTGTTATCTTAATTCAAAACCCACAGTATATATTTTTTTCAAAGATATATTTGAACTAACATTTCAGCAAGGTAGAATTCCCCTCTTCTATTCAAAAATGTATATATATAAACATAAATAAATAGGCATTTATATTCATATATTTAAATTTTATACACAGGACCACAGGGTCCTTCTTCTTTGTTGCACTTGTTTTCTGTTTTTTTTTTTTAATTTCTTAAAGATTTTTTTTATTTATTCATTCGAGGCAACAGAGATACAGAGAGTGAGCATGAGCAGGGGGAGAGGCAGAGGGAGAGGGAGAAGCAGGCTCCCAAGGAGCAGGGAGCCCGATGTGGGACTCGATCCCAGGACCCTGGGATCATGACCTGAGCCGAAGGCAGACGCTTAACCATCTGAGCCACCCAGGTGCCCCTCACTTGTTTTCTGTTTTATCACAACCTTTTTTTCATAGGAGACAGAATTCAGTGAAGTGTAATGAGGGGTGTTGCCTACCAGGGGAGACTTCCATTACTATAAGTGACTCACAATATTTGTGCCAGAGGGAAGTTCTCACTGATGCCAGCTCTCCTTACCTCACCCATCTATCTTCCCTTCCATCTGTTTTATCTTTCTCTTAATTTTCTCTATTTGCCTTTTTGTCTTCTTTCTTTACCTTGACTTTGCTTCAGGACTGGTTAGAAATTCTTGGGCCTATCATAGGTTAGTCCCCAAGAAAGTCCTTATTGCCCCACCATGATCCCTCTCCTGTCAAGCTCCTGCTCTATCAGACTGTTTCCAAGGGCCTTCTATATTCACAGAAGAATTCATTGTGATATCAACAGCAAAGTACTCACAGGTCAATGACAGTGGGTTGAAGTGCTGATTGTATCTGACTGTAATTAGGAAGGAAGGGGCATTCCAGAGGAAAGAGTGAAAGCAGTCAGGAGAGAATCAGTGAAAAAATGGAGGGAAAAGTAAAGCAGAGTGAAATTCAGGCCGAGAGAAACGAAACCACGGTACACGTAGTCATAGTGTGGAAATGAGGCACTGATCCCTCTCTAGTCTGATATTTGAGCTCATTGCACTGCGTCTTGATACTCAAATGTGACTTTTTCAAGAAAGGAAAGATGCAGCTCAGACTGATCCTGGGTGAAGGGTGGGGGTGGAGGAAGCCTCCATTCTGTGGAGGAACCTCCTTAAGTAGGGCATTTGCACCTGCCTTCTACAGGAGCCTCCTTCCCCTCATACCCCCACTTCAGCCTTAACTCAAGGCTTCATTTTCCTAAACTCTGGGTGAGTGTCTCTAGCATCAGCTCTCTCACCAAAATGATACTGTCTCCTCTTTTGTGTCTTAATTTTCCACCTCAACCTATCTCTGCTCCCCTGCTCATTCATTCTTCCCTGAAGGAACAGGAAGAAGATAAACAAACAAAACCCTCTGCCTGTCTTTCAAAATCACTAATGATCTAGCAAAATGGAAACAGAGCAATCACTGCCCAGGATTCACCAACAAATACCTCTTCTCTAGTAGGGTCATAGGGTCTTCTCACTATCCCTGATAAGCCCAGGGACGGGGTTCCTATACCTGGAATGCTGTGTCTACACACTGCCAAGTCTGTGTGACCCCACCTTCCCTATGATGCCTCCTTTTATTACTTAAGTCTGTGCTGAGTATATTCTTTTCTGATAGTACCACAAAACTCAGAAATTAGTTGTTTACTGACTGTTTATAATTATATGTCTCTCTTCCCCAACTTGAACAATAAATCTCAACAATAAATTTGAGAACAAGTACAAAATCTTATGAATCTTTGAATTCTGACACTGGGTGACTCACTAGAGTATTAACAGAATCATTTTGGTAGATTCTTCCAAGTCCAGACAGAGCCTCATCATTTACTATATACCATGAACACAACTTCTGTCTTTCAAAGTCCCTTTTCTTCACAATCCCAAAATCTGACACAATTTAAAAGAGAAAAGATTATTTTGTAATCACAAAGATTTTTATAATTGCATTATTGGAAACCTTGTAAGGAAACAGTTCTTTAATCAACTTGTTATGCTGGTTTTCTTTTATTATTTCCACATACCCTTACTCCTCCTGCATTATATAATAAAAAATGTGTATATTATCAGTCTCCTTCTGATTATCAATTTTCCTGAATATCAGCATGTGAACTCACATCTAGGGTTTATACTGTGAGTGGCCCCGTGCTGTGCTTATCAATAGTAAAGTTATATTTTTAGATTTAAATACTTCTGAGCACTTGAAAAATTCCATATGACTTCTTCTTTTCTAATTAGTTGATAAAAGATGTCTTTGGGTCATTGATTATAGGAATAAAAAATAATGCAAGAGATTCTTACTCTTTTCTTAAATTTACACTGTCTGTCAAAAGGTGAGTGGTAGAGATTCATTTTCTGCAAAACACTGCATTTCTCATCCCATGTTGGAGTCAAGCAGAGCACCAAGTAATTACCTCATTATACATTCCCTTGGCCAAATGTATGAAAGTTCCCACCTTCACATGAGAATTAAATATTGGCATGTGGTAACATTTCAATTTCACAACTGAGTTCTGCCTATGGAGATCTAAGTCACAAATCACTCCAGGTTGGGGAAGGAAATCCAGTTTTAATATTTTTTCTTGAATAATCAGAGTTTACATATTTTTATCTACTGTCAGCACTGAAAACTTCAGGTTTTATTAATTTTTCTGTTTGAGTCTTGTTGGAGGGAATAAGTGTTGCAGGAATAAGTGTTCATTTACAATATTTTTAGTTTTTATTCTTCCTAGTGAATATTTTGATTGTCTTATGTACATCAACAATTTAATTTTCTGCTGAGATCTCCAATTTAGGGCTTTGTTTAAAAAAAAGAAAAGTGGTTCTACTCCTAGAAGATAAAGGAAAGGAAAGACAGTATTGTTAATAAAATATATTAAAATTTCTTTTTTTGGAAAAAAAGTCCAAAAAGCAAGAAAAGATTAGAATGAGTATCACCAGGGAGTTCAAGATTAGCATTTCAGTTTCCTTGGCAAGTCATAAAAATGGTAAGCAAAAAATAGAATGAAATTAATAAAAATGAGTGCGATGTATAGTTACACAAAGCAAACCTAAATAATCTTATTGACATCTGACCTCTGCATGAAATACTTAAAATGTTGTCTTTTGTGACAAGTATTTTGCTCTAAATGGCTGCATCACTGAACACGATGGTAGATGCTTCCAGCAATCTTAGTTAAAAGATGGTATTATCTCATTTGGACAATACCGAGGTCTTGAAAGAATAGAGTAAGCATTTTTCATGATAGGTAGATTATTTTCTAACTCACCAGTAACATCACATAGAGATTTGCCTTTTTAGTCATGATTGTAACAAATTTTACAGTGTAATTGTTTAATTCATTCTTTGATTTATAGCTATAATCTATAGCGTAATCTAATTGCATTAAGGCACTGTCCATTATTCTCTCACAAAGAAGGAAGCTAATATCAGAAATGATAAAACTCAGTATTTTATTTTGACCATATCTCTATGTGCTACATCACTTACATACTGTTATGATCTTTGTAGCAATATGCAAAGAAATGTGTGAAACTCACTCAATGAAGTAGACTTCACCCTTCTCTGTATAGGCCATTTCCCAGTTATCAGGCAATGGGTCTGACTCCTCATTCTCTTCAGGCTTAGTTGGTTTTGCATCATCCATCTGCTCCTTCAGCTCCTCGGGCTGACTGTACACTGGTGCAGGATAAGGCTGGGAGGGTGTCTCCCCTGAGGCACCTGCACTCTTGTCTTCATGTTCACTGGATTCTACAACAGAACAAGAGCATGTGGTTAGTCACTCTAGCCACAGGAACTTCTCAATGAGTGTGGAGTATGATGCACCAGGGAATAAGCTCCATGAAGGCTAATAGGAAAAGCATGATTGCAAACAGCTCTGAAAATCATCTCTAGGCCTAGTTGAGTTCCCCTTTCACTCATGATTCTTGTCTATACTTCATCTAATTATTGATGATTACTGAATTGGAGGACCATTTCACAACACAGGTGTGGCAGGCAGAATAATGACTCCCTAAAGATGTCCATGTCCTACTTCCTGGAACAGGTGAATGTTACCTTACATGGTGAAAGAGAATTTTGAGATCTGATCAAATTAAAGACCTTGAGATTGGGAGATTTCTTCAATTATTCAGGGGTCCTCATGTAATGACAAGGGTCTTTAAAAGTGTGATAGGAAGGCAGAAGAGGAGGGTCAGAGAGAGATGTGACACTAAAGAATGGCCAAAGAGATGCAATGTTGCTGGCTTTGAAGATAGAAGAAGGGGACCAACCAACCACAAGCCAATAAATGTGGGTGGCCTCTAGAAGCTGGCAAGGCAAGGGTATGGATTCTCTTCTAGAGCCTCTAGAAAGGAACACAGTCCTGTTGATACTTTGATTTTAGCCCAGCTAGTTCCATGTCAGACTTCTAACCTATAAAAATGTAAGACAGTGAATTTGCATTGTTTAAACCATTACATTTGTGGTAATTTGTTATAGCAACAATAGAAAACTAACACAATAGAGTAAAACCTAAAAAAGATACATATCTTTAAGAGTAATGGTAACAGGCTTGGAGGAGAGACCCAAGAGTCACAACATGTAAATAGCATGAGCTCCAGAATGAGGAAAGGAACACATAGAAAAGAAATAATAACTCAACAGCAACAACAACAACAAAAAAATAGAAGAAAATTTACCTAAGATGAAGAAACACTTGAGTTTGCAGACCGAAATGGTTCACTGAATCTGACACCAGATTAATGAAGCATATAGACTCCTAAACACATCTAAGTAAAATTTCCAAACTCCGATATTAAAAAGCAACTCTAGAAGCTCCTGCACTGAAGAAATATGATTACTTGCAAAGAAAATAGGAACAGAAGAACATGAGATCTTTCATCTGTGATACTCTTAAGCTCGAAGACAATAAAGTAACATCTGTAGTAACTTGAGGGGAAAAAAAGTACAGCAACTCAAGAACTTAACTCTGCTAAAATATTATTCCTCTATCTGGACAAAAGAAAGTCACTTTAAACAACAGAAGTTCTGAGTATATACTACCCATGCATCCTACTTGAGGACAACATTTGAGGAATTACTCTAACCATTTCACAGCAATTGAATCAGAGCAGATAAAACAAAATAGGAAGAGAAAAGGAGAAAATAAAAATTAAGAAGAAGTATCCTGCATGATATACCTAAATGTCAATGGAGGGTGATCACATTTCTGGAAATGCATAATACATGTTAAAGACAAATTCTTGAAAGAGAAGAAAACATTATATGGAAAATCTAATAACAGCATCGGTTTTCAACTATATCTTGGTTAAGCTCAGGTTCTAGAGGGTGGAGAAAAGGCAGAGAAATAAAGACATTTTAAAGGTCTAATAGGGGTACAACAGGGAGTGGGTAAATGAGATAATTTTAAAGGCTATCTTTTCACGGGATTAGATTACTGGGCAAGTATTTTGGTCAAGGTGTAGATGTAATGTAATTGTATAATAGGGATATTTTTGAAATATCCTCTAATGTATACTCTCTCTGAACTATTTGGAATTTCTTTCTCTTCCCATTTCGCTTTTCTACCACTAAACATAGACCATGAGTCATATTTGTTGTCAAAGAGTAGAGTGGGGGCCATCTAGAGAAAGAAACATGTTTGGGGTAAATAAAAAGAAAGATATAATATAGAGTAAGTTCCTGCAAGGTAAGATGGTATGATTGGAGAGAAATTTAAAGGGGAAATGTTCAAGTTTAAGACACTGCCTGGTTCTTTCAGGGATTCAGCACCACTATCTTTAGGTTTTGGTCTGGAGTATGATGTGGTTGTGGTAAGAAAAGGGAAACCAAAGAAAAGGTGAAGGGAGTCCAAAGGAAAGGAGAACTATGAATTACTTTAGTTTACAACTTTGGGAGAAATGTTTCCTGCAGAGTAGCCTCAAATTTCCACTGGAGGGTCAGAACAGATAGACTGTGAGTAAGGGGCGCTTGGGTGGCTCAGTCAGTTAAGCACCCAACTCTTGGTTTCAGCTCAGGTCATGATCTCAGAGTCGTGAGATCGAGCCGTGGGTTGGGCTCCACGCTCAGTATAGAGTCTGCTTGAGATTATCTCCCTCTCCTTCTGTCCCACTCCCCTACTCACACTATCTAAAATAAAAAAAAAATAATGAAATCTTTAAAAAAATTGGCAAATACACTTCCAAGACTCCCTTGTGCTATGGATGTCATCTAAAAGTCCAACTATGCCCCAGTGGGAGACTTGGAAAGTAACTAAGAGTAGAGAACCAGTAGACCTGCAGTGGGTCACTATGGCTTCCTCATAGCAGAAGGTGTAGTAGAGACAGTTTAACCCAGAAACTGGAACGAGAGTCCTACTGACAGATGCCAGTGTGAGGATAGGACAGCCAACTTAAAAATATGAAATTGTACAATCATTTGGAAACATAATCAATAGCTATTAACATGAAAAATATAAATATACAAATGCACATATTCTTTGACTCAGTAATCCCACTTTGAGACTGTATCCTCTAGAAATAAAGGTAGTGTGGTATAAGAATACATATATAACAATATGCACAGCAGTATTTGTAGTAAGAAAGCCCTGAAAATGGTTTGAATGCCTATCCATGAGAATATGATTAAGAAGATTGTGATTATCATTACCATGGAAAGCTATAGTTTAAAAACAATGAATTAAGTGTGTGTGTATTGAGTTGGAAAAGGTGCTCATCATTACTATTCAAAGAGTAATCCAAGTTGCAGAGAACATATATTGTTAATCCTATTTTTTAAAAATAAGCAAACACCGAGTTCCCTTAGATATATACATATAATTTTGTATATATGAGCATGAAAACAGGATAGAAGGTGTACAATAGATTGTCAACTTTGATTCCTTAAGGATAGTAAATTTAGATGGGGTGGGAGAAGTTTTCTTTATGTTATCTTTGCATTCACTGGCTATCTATTATTTTTATAACTTTAAAAATTAATAACAGTAATTTACAATGAGTTAAAGTAGAATGCCATATTTGTCTCAATCAATTGCTTAGATCAATGTTTTCCCTATGTGCATCAATCTCTGAGGGCCATATTAAGGTACCTTTAGGAATTAGAAAGCACAAGAATACATTACAAGCTTTCATAGTTTTGCCCTTTAAGGGCAAAGAACACTTTTTTAAAAAGAATACGGCCCCTTATTGATGTAGTCTTCCAGTTGATCCCTCATACAGAATTGACCTTTGTAAATGTGTAGGAAAGAAGCAGCAAAAAAAAGGTACCATAGCTCCCTTTAGATTCTTATTGCTGTACCTTATTACAAGTAATTACCAATGCACAAAATACACTGTTCTCAGGTATTTCCAAATGTCACGTTGCATTTAAAAAGTTAAAATGCAAAGTCATGTTCTGAAATATTCATCATTCAATATTCATTTAATCAATATTTATTAAGCACTCAATTGTTGTCAGGGACTGAGAACAGAAAAATGAACAAGACGGGCATGATCCCTGCTCTCGCAGACCTCAAAATATGTCAGGATGTGTAATCTTTAAACAAGTTTAAGTGTGATGAATGCTTTCCCAGTGAAAGCTGGGATATAATGCATATGCATTCACTTAATTTTATATAAAGAGTCAAGGAAAGCCCTTTTTTCCCAATGTACTACAACCTGAAACATGAAAAAGAAGTCAAGAGACTTTTTTCAGAGGAAGGTAATGGAGAAAAAATAGATAAACAAGGACCAAATTAGGCAAGGCCTTAGAAGGCATGCTCAGAATTCGGGACTGTATCCTAAAAGCAACGAGAGGGCATTGATGTATCTTAACCAAGGAGATGACACAATTAGATTTACATTCTCTACGAAGATCCCCTGTTCTGGGGGTTTGAGAATGGCAAGAGTAGATATTTAGAGGTCTGTGGGAAGTTATTTGTGTGTCCTAGACAAGAGATGATGGTGGCACAGTCATGGAAAGAAGTGGACTGAAAAAATATTTAGACATCATGGTAAACCTGGTGGGTGACAAAGCCATACACTGAGATAGGAAATATGAGAGAAGGATCAGGACTGTGCGGGGGGTCAGGGAGAGTATGGGCATAGTTTTGGGCACACTGAGACAGAGTTCCATGCCAAACTCACAATGGAGATGTCATGTCAGAGAGTTCTTGGCTAGAGAGAATCAATTCGAGAGACAACAGTATGTAGCTAGACTGCATTATAATTGAAGCCAGAGGAGTGAATGAAATTGCTTAGAGAGACAGTGCAGCAAGTAGAAACTAGGATCCCTAAAGCAGCTGTCTGAGGAATTTCCACATTTAACGGTCAGTGAGAGAATGATTAGGAAACAGCAGCCAGGGAAGTAATAGGAAAATCAGTCGATCCTCATGCCATTAAAACCAAGCAAAGAGCAATGAGGAGGAAACATTTACTACCTGTGGCCAAAGCTTCTAAATTGTCCAGCAAGATAAGGGCATAAAATCTACCGAAATTGGGCGCCTGGGTGGCTCAGTTGGTTAAGCAACTGCCTTCGGCTCAGGTCATGATCCTGGAGTCCCAGGATCGAGTCCCGCATCGGGCTCCCTGCTTGGTGGGGAGTCTGCTTCTCCCTCTGATCCTCCCCCTCTCATGCTTTCTGTCTCCCATTCTCTCTCAGATAAATAAATAAAATCTTTAATAAAAAAAAATCTACCAAAATTAAGGACATGAAGATCACTGGTGATATTAGCTACCAGTTATTGTAGTAGTTATAGTAGAATGATGGGTGGG